GAAAAGAATGCACCAGTTCTGGAAAGAACAACATCCAGAATCAGAAATAAGAGAACAGAGGGTAGCAGATCAACGTCAATTTATAATATGAAATAAAGTATTGGAAGAACTGCAAAGGTCTACCCAGGGCAAAGAAATTGAAACCTACCTAATAATGAAAGATCCAGCAAAAGGGGCAGCATTAGGCAACTACAGGCCAATTACCTGCTTACCAACAATTTTCAGATTACTAACTGGTGTTGAGCTGATGCAGTCCCACAACATCTAGTTGAACATAAGCTCTTTCCACCAGAGCAGAAAGGAAACTGCCCAAACAGTAAAGGGACAAAATATCAGCTCACAGTTGACATGATGATTTTGGAAAACTGCATGAGAAGGAAGACCAACTTGAATGTAGCTTGGATTGATTATCAAGAAGGCATTCAACTCCCTGCCACGTGATTGGATAATCAAGTGCCTAGAAATAACAGGAGTCCGTAGAAACATCAGAAGTCTTGTGCAAAGATCAATGGCCTAATGGAAGACACAGTTGCTGGTCAATTGTGATAGACTGGGAGAGATTAATATCAAGAGAGGAATCTTTCAAGAAGACTCGCTATCACCACTACTGTTTGTCCTTGCATTGATTCCTCTGTCAACAGTACTGAACAAGTCAGGCCATGGCCATCAAACATTAAAAACATTTGCCAGGCTATCCTGTCTCCTTTATATGGATGATCTGAAGCTGTATGGAAAAGCACCATATGAAATAGAATCACTGCTCAACACTGTCTGAATATACAGCCAAGATATTGCAGTGGAGTTTGGACTGGACAAATGTGCCACCCTTACCATCAACAAGGGAAAAATAGTGAAAACTGAAAGAAGCAAGATGCCCTATGGAGATAATATCAAGAATCTGGATGAAGCAGATCACTACAAGTACCTGGGCATCCTTCAAGTTGACAACATCAAGCACACTGAGGTCAAGAAGAAGGTTAGTAGTGAATACATTAGGAGAGTGAAAGTCCAAACTCAGTAGAGGAAATACCATCAAGGCAATTAACACCTGGGCAATTCCAGTCATTAGATACAAACCTGGAATAGTGGACTGGACTCAAGCAGAACTAGAAGCCATGGGTAGGAAGACCAGAAAAATAATGACAATGAATCATGCCCTTCAGCCACACAGTGATGTTGACGGACTCTGCTTACCAAGGAGCATAGGTGGGCATGGAATGTTGCAAGTACACCAGACAATTGAAGAAGAAAAAAGAGCATTGTAAG